TGATGCAGCTCTGTATTCATTGACATATCATTAAATACATATTTTAAGTACAAGAAGTGTAGTTGCCTGAATTTGAGTTTTTAGGGTACCTTGCCTCTTGCAATCTGCTGCACTGCAAAGCTCAGAATGGGAGACGGAGAAGCAGCACAAGGACCCAATCAGTTTTGCTGTAGTGTTCATGTGCTAGCAAGAGGCATGCTGATAGGAGGGGGAATCAGCATGAAATAGAGGCAAACTCATCAGTCTATTTCTACTTCTTTAACTTTTAACTGTTATGTAACTGCAGCAAAGAAAGATCAGGTCTCCTGCGCCGCCAGACAGGGCTGTGCTGTGCGGTATGGCTTTGTTTACTCAAAACTGGATAGACAGAAATACAACTCCTTTGTGAGATAAACCAGCTCCTATATACTGTATGTACTATATCTGTGTATTAAGATTTAAAGGAAATCATATCATCCCCCAAACATGTACACATAGCAGTCTATTCATTGTCTGGTCCATCAACTGTTTCAAATTCATTCCTTTTTTTGCCACACAAAGTGCAATTAAAAGTCCAAGTGTTGCCATGATATGCAAATATTGACTTTTTGTAAAAAGTCATCAGCTCAGTCAACATTTCCATCTCTAACTGCCTTCAGTGTCACAAACCTGTGGCATCTTACAGTGACCAAGCATCAGATATGTTTTTCTTGTTAGGATTTTGTATACTTGAACCTGTGTCAATGCTATGGACAGAGAAGTATTTACATATGTTTATCAAGCAGTAAATTAACTTTAAGACACACTCTCTTTATAGCTGTAGGAACTATGGAGTAATTCAGCTTCACAGTTCAGCAGAGACGTAATGTCTATGCTGGGAGAAGCAAGCAATGCAAACTGAGCTGCTGACAGAATGAATGACTCAGTATTTCTGCTGTAAGCTCTGAGGCTGAATTACTTCACAGTGACTGCATTTCAGAGGGCATTAATGGTTTGTTAAAAAGGAACTTCACCTCCATGGGATATTTGTTTTTCAGTCTGCCCTAACCTTTTATCCTGAATTAACATACTCACTCGTCCAGCAAATCTAGCATTGTCCTGCTGTAATCCACTGCTCCACTGTCCTGCGCTGTCATCTTTTTCTCTTACTGTCACTTCCAGGTTCAGACAGCTGCCCCCTGATGGTATACATCAGGTCTGACCTCCTCCAGCAGCAGGTCTGCCCTCTTCCAGTAGCTGTGTGGAAGCTGAACCTTCCTGAGATATATGACCTGCAAATACCAGGAGGCTTCAGGAGCAGGGTCCATGTCATGGAAGCAGGGGGTGGGCTGGAATGTAACTGTACACTGTGGGGGGGATACAATATGGAGGAGTTTTTATTTTTATTTTGAATGAAGGTCCACTTTATGAATATGTGAATGTTATCAGGGTTATTCACTAAACAGTTTGGAGTTTGGAGAAGGCAGGAGAAGGGAACAATCTAGGGCGACATAGCCGATTTGGAAAAATTCTCCAATTCAGCTCACTTTCCAGTTCAGCCATGTTGTCCTAGATTGTTCACTTCTCCTGCCTTCTCCAAACTCTTCACCGTTTTGTGAATAATCCTGTAGCTCTTACCTCCTGCTGAGTTTCCTGCATTCCAGCTGATATTGTAAAGCACTGCACAAACTGTTGGCGCTATATAAATCCTGTATAATAATAATAATAATATTATTATT